AGTAGTAACTTTCAAGAGACTAGAAATCATGTCTATACTGTTGAGCATTGTGTCCAGTGTCTAAATACTAAAAAATATGTTAGATAAATGAGATACATTCCTTTCATTGCTCAAAGTGAACACTTTCCAGTATGTTTAGTCCTCATTTCACCTCATTATATTGATTTTATAGATGATGACTTAGGAGAAGTCTATTAGTTTGCCCAAATTTGTGAGTTGGGATTCTAACCCAATTTTCACTCAGCCCTTTGCTTTTTAGCCATTGCTCTAACCTGTCCTGCTCACAAGGACCTAGGAATAGTGAAAATAGTTTGAGATTGAAACCTGACTGTAATTGTTAATTTTTTACTTGTTGTATGATTAGCACCATAATGTTCATGATCTATTTCTATCTTAATTTGCATTTAACACTTAATCTTTGGTTTCTTCATAGCTTTGCCCAATATTCAAAACCTAATGGGTGTCATATTCCAACACTTGTTTCATTACCTAGTTAGACTCCTGCTAGGTGTCTTGCTTTAACAAAAAATTTTTGGTTTTTTTTGTAGAAACAACAAAAATTGTTTCTACTGGCACACCTCTAATTTATTTTTAGTTTTGTCTGTATCTGACTATGACCACTAACTTTCTAGAATTGTTTAAAGTTCTTTCTTGGTTAAGTAAATACATATGGTTATACTTATCTGTCAACTCTTTATATTTTTCAAACTATAAAATTTATTCTGTAAAATGTCCATTATTTATGAGCCCATTTAGTGAGTTTTTTTGTGTTATCTGTAGAGTACTTAAGAGGAAGTTTTTATTACAGATTTAAGACTTTTATCATCTTTCATAGTTGAATATATAAACACAGTCTTCAAAGTTAGACCAGTTTTAGACCTAATATAAATTTAAACACTTAATTGGTAACTAATAGTCTGCAATAGACCAAGTTTCTGTAAGCGATGTTTGTACTTATCCAATATGTGCTCTATTAAAACTTTTCAACATTTATCCAAAATAACAGGCATTTTAGTGAACGTATTACCAAAAACCTGGTAAAATTTTGTTTCTCCTTGGTGTGCTAAGAGATCTACCAAAAATTCGCCCAAAGTGGCAAAACCCTTTTTCATTTATTTCTCTTTATGGCAAGTGTAAACTATTAAGGTTAAGTGGGTGGGGCAACTGGAAGTAATTACTAAAGCCAGTGGCATTTTGTGGTTTAATAAAGGCAGAAACTAATTATTCAGTTTTTATTTAAGTAAAATGGTGCCAAAAAGGAGGTTCCTGCAGAGCAGCTGCACTCCTTCAGTGTTACCCTAATTTACCAAAGACACAACTGTCACAAACAGAACTTTTAAACTTGATATATAGCCACAAAAGTAAGGAGGCTTTTGTTTGGAGTGCTTGCAGAAGAACTCCTTTATACAAATCAACCGGCAGATGATGGACAATGATGAAAATTTGATTCTTTGAAGTCATAATAGTCATTGAAATGTGTGAAATTCTGGTATTGAAAAGAGAGCAGCCAGCAAGACTCTAAATCCTGGGTGGTTGCAAGAAGCTTGCTGGGAGGTTTTTCTGCATTTTGACACCAACTTCCCATTGCTTGTTCCCTGCTTCCTTTGTTAAAAAAAAAAAAAAAAGTTGAATTCACACAAGATAAATGGGGACAGTTGATAACCGAATCAAGTTTTTATATGGAAAACTAATATTTTATAATGGAAATTTGAATTTGAAAGAATAAATTTCACTTATATATACAAGTATATACTTTCTTAATGATTTTTTAAATTGCTCTTCCATTTAATTAGACTTGTGAAGTAGAAGGTCAGCTGTCAACTCTTCCAGAATAGAATTGTGGAAGAGATGTGCTGAAAGAGTGGAACTTTGGAATTATGATATGTGTCTTTTCAGTAGCAAATATTTGATGCCCTTTATGGGCTGTGATTAACTCATCATTTCTTAAAATAACATTGTACATAAGATAGTGTTTCTGAAATTTTATTAAGTTAGTGACATTCTTTAATAGAAATATAAATTTCATACTTGACCCAACTATTTAAAAATTTAGTTTTAAAATTTAGAAATCTGTACATATGATCTGCTTTATTAAAATTTACAGATAACTAACTGGTGAGTCTTGAAGTTCTTTAGGTGCCAGCTTGAAGGCTTCCATAACTTATGTGATTAAATTTTTTATTACAAAATTTATGAATTATCTATAAATTATCTTAACAATAAAGTGAGAAATCTATAAAAGACTATAGACAGCTTCAAAGCATTTCTTTTATAAGTAGATTTATAAAAAAGATCTCTTGCAATACAGAAGTGGGAATCTAGAAAAAATATCATTTGTTCAGTATAGTTTAAAATGGTTTGCAGATATTTTATTTATTTATTTATTGGAAAAGTGTCACAGGTATGTCTCTGAGAACTTTGAGGGAAAGCAAAGCATTGAAGACCCAAGAGTTCAATATAGTGCTTCATAGTTCTTTTCAAGTACTACATTGTTTTAATGGAATCTTGGAGTGGGAGCTTTAGCCCATTGAAATGTCACTTAGAGGACAGGTTCTTCTGTCACTAGCTAAAGCTGTTTGGATGATTCTAACAAAAGAGTGTTGTAATGTGTTTTATAAGTGTGAGAAATCAGTTTGTCTAGACTAACAGTGTGCCTACAGGGACTAGAAATTTTAGAGCTTCTGTGCCCTTTAGGTGTCAAGTATATGAGAGATGCCAAGCCTTTTTATTCTCTGTCTTTGGCAGCAGCTCAACTCGGGCTGCAGTACCTTACATGTTGTCTGCAAGCAAAAACAGGAATTCTATGTCAGAACAGTGTGGGCTCCAACATTCAAAAATAATTCATTTGAATGCCAGCTTTAAATTGGGGGATGATATCAATAAATAATTGCCATAATTTGAGGATATATGGAAGCACTGGTAGGAGGAGTTCAAAGATCATAGCAATATTTTGTACCCACTTATTTTAAAGAAGTCTTCCATTCTAAAAAGTCATTCTATCCCTTTCTGCTTTAATGGTACAAATCAAGAAATATCATTTCGATTTTTTAAAGCTTTATTGGTTTTTTAATTACTTTGCCATATATCCATCACAGTATAGAAGTTTATAAAGAAAAACTGTTTTCTTATGATCTCATCTTCCTGAGGTAACTAGTGTTAAGAGTTTAATATGTTTCTTTTCCTGTAAGTTTTAAATAGCACCCAATTTACAGCTCTAGTTTTTATGAACTCAGCTCAGAATGGAAGGATTACTGTGGAATTTGGAAACATGCCTCATGTTACAGTTTTGTAACACACTATATTGTTTGTTTATACCTTGCTTCAGCTATAGCTGAGGAAATAGGACATGGTAATATAAAGATATCTTAATTAGTAAGTTACTATGACTGATTACAAATACTACAGTGAATTCAAAGGAGTAATAAGTAAGTATTGGGACTTCCCAGGAGCCGAGTCTCTTTGAAGGTGTTGAGTAGAGGAATGTGCTTTATAAAGTCATTAAATGTAATATTTTTGATGAATACATGAAATTTTCTTTGATGTTGAACTTGACAATTAAAAATTCCCAATTAAAACTTATATTCATACTTTAAAAATTACCTGCCAGTTGCATTTATTTTTTTATTTTATCCTATGTGCAAAAAGCTTTAAAAAAATGTAGGCACATACTTGAAGTGCATATTTGTGTAAATATTTATGTGGATCATTTTGATATTTCCTCCAAACAGACAAGCTGTGACACAGTAACCACACCTTAATATTGGTGCAGGTAGAAAGGTATTACTTTAAGCAGAGGATTGGTTGTCAGCTAAAATAACTTTAAAGAGTTCTTTTTTACTCTGTGGGTAGAAAGACTAGTCAAATCAGAAATATACTTGGTGTTTTCCCAGTACATATTGCACTACTAAGTATGTGTACAATTCTTTGGTCCATAGCATTGATTAAAGAATGGAACTACAAATAAACATTAGCCTTCATTTGGGCTCTATTACAATGAAATTAAAATTCACAGAATGAATTAGATTTTCTTGTTTTCACAAATTTGGTGTAATCATTTTCATGTTAACACTCTTGTTTTTAACCAGTTATTTAAAATTTACTAAGTGAACTGTAATTTTAAAATGCTTTATTTATAAGAATGATATGGTTAACCCTAAAAACAATCTTACTTTGATAGAATAGAGTGTTTTACCATTACTAAGTAGAGACTTAAATTCTGGATTACCTTATTATTATATGTCCTGACTCCTACAGTCATTTGATAAATGTATCTAATGTAGGGCATCAAAATTATGTGTATTTATCAGGTGAGCATTTGTTACTAGATAGAATTACAGAAAAAGAGACTCAAGGAAGTTACCATTGTTTCATCTCACATTTCTGCAAAAATTATGCAACTTTTTTGGTTTACCTTGGCAAAATAGGTTTGATGTATTATTTTCTCTTCAGTAGTTTTCACCAGAGGTAGATAAATAAAAATGTTGAAGTTGCTAATTGATTTTGTTTACAAAAAGATTTAGGTCTTCCCCTGAAAGGAATGCTGTGTTGTAAGCAGTTTGACACAGAAACCACAGGGAACAAATTTTTTTCTACTTAAAATTTAGTCACTTTTATATCCCCTTACTTTTAATATCCTTTTACATTTTTCCTCTGCTCACTGTTATACCTGCTCATGAAATAAGAGGCCATTGACAACAGGCTCTTCTACCAGTAAGTTCTTCAGAAATTACCCATGCTTTGTTGAACAAAAAAAGAACCTCAATTTTTTTTTATAAACTCTGCCCCATTGTATCCTAACACTCCCCCCCCACCGTATGCCTTTCCCAAATACCAAAATAGTAATTTTTATGTTAAAAGAGCAGATTAGTGAAATAAGCCAGAAAGTTAAAAACCCAATTTATATATAAATCTGAATAGAGTTGCATGAATACAGAAAGCAACAAATGTACATTAGACTATATGTAGGCTATTAAAATTGTGTTTACTTTATTTTCCTTTAGGATATCACCACTTTAACTGGTGTTCCAGAAGAGCATATCAAAACTAGAAAAGTTAGGATCTTTGTTCCTGCTCGCAATAACATGCAATCTGGAGTAAACAACACAAAGAAATGGAAGATGGAGTTTGATACCAGGGAACGATGGGAAAATCCTTTGATGGGTTGGGCATCAACGTGAGTATCTGGTTTAACTTGAATATTGTGTTCAGCTCTTTTTCTATGTGAATTTTTCCTTTAAATATACAGTTGACCCTTGCATAACATGGGGGTTGGGGCGCTAACCATTCCCCTATTGCGCAGCCAAAAATCCACATACAACTTTTTGACTCCTCAAAAATATAACTACTAATACCCTATTGTCAACTGGAAGCCTTATCAGTATTACAATTGATTAACACATACTTTGTATGTTATGTTATAATACTGTATTCTTACAATATAGTAAGCTAGAGAAAATTTTTTTCAAATTGTCCAAATCTGCCTCAAATTTTCCAATATGTTTATTGAAAAAAATCTATGTATAAGCCCTTGCTGTTCAACACCCATGTTAGCCAATGGTCAATTGTACTGATTTTCTAACTCTTTGATGTACTGTATGTTTTATGAAGATACTTTTTGAGGTCATTTGTGTAGGTATCGCTGTGTTCAGTGATACATATTTATATATGTATATATTTTAAATATTCATGTAAGTGTGGCCCAGCACAATAAACCATAGAAAACAGTCTTTTCAGACTACTGTTAATTGAATAAAAATGGCTGACATTGTGAGCACTGTTAGCAAGGTCCCCAAGATAATGGATATTAGTTTAAGATATACTGTGTGAATAGTGTTAATAATTTACTGATACTTATTTTTAAAATAATAAACTTTATAATAAATTTTTTTTTGGTTGTATGGTGATAAGGCTAGGTGAGTTTAGAATAGGGGAGTTTAGAAATTAGCTATTTTGAGGGAAATTTGTAAGTACCTGAGATCTTGTCATTAATAAGTTTACAGTGCATTGAAATAAAGTAGTCAAAAATTTGGTGGGACCAATGAAGTCAGTGACCTAAATGTCTATCATGGAATAAGGCCCAAATGTTAAATAAAGAACAGGAATGCCTCTACTTGAATAAAATGGAGCTGCTAACAGAAACAGCCAGATAAGCTACAAAATTGTCATTCCAGAATATCATATGTGTCCTCTCTCTAGTAGAAGTTAGTTACAAGTTTAAATTGTCTTATCTTACAAAGTTATGATATTTAATATTTTTTCTTGTTGTTGTACCTGGGAGAGTTTTTGTTAAAAACATCTGCCATGTCGTAATTTAAATAAAATTCTATTTTATTTGGCAAAAGGATATGTAGACACAGTTTCATATCTCTAAATTTTATGCTTCATGTAATATATAGGGTGTTGTTGTAAATCACATGGTTGCAGAGACTAAAGGAACAAAATTTATATGAAACAACTTTGTCCATACCCAATAGTTGAAATGTTATGATTATTCTTTTTTGAGTCACATGAGATGTTGGTGTGTTCATCCATATGTAGATTCATCTGCTGCACTGTTTACTAATGGCATTTGGGGAGTTTTCTTAAAAAACAAAATTGAACTGAATAAATTTAAATATCTAATTGGCTATTTATTAATTAATTTGTGAATTGGACAGCATCCCATCAAACAAATAGAAAGGGCTCTGAAGAACTGTACAAAGTGGGAGACTTATAGGCAGAAGAGGGCATAGACCAGGTAAAGTGGATTACCTCATCTTTCTCTGGGGGATGGAAAAGATCTGTCCTTATCAGGAAATTCCAGATTGACTGCAGTTTCAACCTCCCCAAGGAATGTAATCTTAAACCAATTAGGTTAGGTATTAAGACTGGGTTTGTTGACAGGGGGCTTCGCACAAGTGCCTCCATTTTGGGCCTGTTGTCTCTTTTTAACAATTTCCCCTTTTGATCAGAGCTTCTGCTTAACTGAGAGATGTGATCAAAATGTAAGGCATTTGCAACACTCCCAGCTTCTGTTCTGAAGTTCTCACAGTGTCTGTTGATTTTTGTCTTGATCTTTCTTTGGTATTCACAGGTTTTACTAATCTTTCATGTTCACAACCATGACTTCAGGTTCATGATTTTTAAGTTGGCCATTCTCTTTGTTCCTTTTCTGATATTCTAAGGGGGATCATTTGCTCGGTGGTTAGCAGCTGTGAACATGCATTTAAACCTACTGAGAGAATACACCATGCCAGGAAGACTAGTATGATTAATACAAGTAGGATAATTCCCAGTGTTTAGAGGGCATTTTGGAGCCATGGTCCTCATAGCCAAAACCAATCCAAATCAAATTAAGTCCAAGAAAGACCCTGTTGAGAGAGTCACCTTTTAAGCAGATGGCTTGTTTAGTCATCTTACATAATTGAGCTTTAACTTCCCCAAAAGTGCTAATTCAGGTGCCCCAGGTGGTATTGGCCAGGGAGGTATGGCCTGCAATAGGGAGGGACTCCTGAATCATGAACCTCCTGGTAATTCCTGTTTGACTATCAGGCTCAGGAATAGAAGGGTGACAGGACAGCCATGGAGGCCAGAAAAAATTTATGGGCCCAGAGCCCACGTATGCAGTCTTATACCGGTTACCCTTGCCTTTTGTCCCTTTGCAGAGAGCCAGGATGAAAAGTTCCCCAAGTTTGTGGTTGTTAACCAGAGACAGGGAAATGGACCAGGACTCTCTGGCATACAGATCAGAATTTTTGTTGCAAGAAGAGCAGGTTTTAATTCAAGTATGAAGTCTTGGTCCAGATAATAGTCTGCATCAGTGTCAGCTACTTCTCTTCCTTGTCAATTTAATTTGAAGGTCTCCAGTGTTTGCATGGGACCAGACATCAGGTGAAAATAATCACAATAAAAACCAATTTATTTGCATAACTTGGCCTGATTATTTATGTAAGTGCAGCAAGAATGGTGATTGACCATATAAGCTCTTTTATAAAAGAGCTTTGCTGGAACTTTTCATTAGGAATCTCAGATTGAGCTCTTAAATATCTACCTACAAGACTAGGAATCTAAGCCAAGGAATCACCATCAGATTTCACCTGCAATACCATTCCATTCAAAGGGTTAGTGGTATAGCTAATGTTTCTAATTGTGTCCTGTCATAAGGAGAAAATTTTCTTACTAAACTTAGGTAAATAAATAACTATTTGCCATGAAAAATATACCCCAAGTTTCTGAATTCTGGAGGAGGAGATAGCATGTTTCATTTTTTTTCACAAAGGTGTACTTTACCAAATTATTTTAAGTCATAAAAATTATAATCACCTTCAGTTTATTAAGTCCCATGTTATCAATTCTTGGTCTGCTTGAATCTGGATTATTCCATCCAGATTTTCTGGGAATTCCAACCCAGTTCACTTTTATGGTCTTAAAGTTATCAGAAACATGTACTTTACAATGTCCTTTCCATGAATTTCCTTGGAGATGAAGCACGTTTGCAGGAACACTTTTGCAAAAGCATCAGAGTAAAACAATTCTCTATTAATGAAAAAAGACTTAAAAATGTCCATGGTTAAAGGTCTCATAAGAGTGCGTAATAATGGAAATGACAAGGAAATTGGTTATTTTTGTATTATACAGCAGTTCAAGATATTTGGAATTATGACTGATAATATTATATCAGCACATACCGTATTTCTAGGAATTTCATAGAATTTTTAGAACACTTACATACCTATATAAATATAACATGAAGAAGGCTTACTATTAGTTTTTATTTGACAATGCTTTCCATGTAATATGTCAAATAAGCCTCATTAATTCAACATCTTCCCTTTTATAAGGAGAAAGAACACATCTTTTCTATTTTTCCAGGGGCCATCTGGAATTAGTTCATGGTCAGAAAGACTTCATTTGGAATTTGATTTTTAGGAAGTTTGTCAAAAATATTAAAGATTTTAAAACACATGGTCAAGTAGGATCATAGGTCATTGTGCAACAATACTTGGTTATCCATTTAACCGTAGTGACATTAAAGACTCTGAAGGCAAATACAGAAAGTTAAATAGTTGTAAAATAACCTTAGTTTCTTTAACGGTGAAGTCTTAGTTTTCTTAAAGTGGTCAAAGATCTGATAAAAACAACATGAAACACAGGAAATTATTTTGACAAGATACATATCTTTGTTTTCAGGCAGATTACTTAAAAAGATAAAGAAAATTGTCATAATCTCTTATCAAGAGCAGACCAATAGCCAAGAAAGCTGTCCTTTTAACAAAGAGAAAGCCAAATTCTAATTTTTCATCAGCTTACTTTTGATACTAAAACTCATTAACCTAAATTCATTCCAATTTTAGCTAGTCATAACCACTTAAAATTATTTTCCACAATTCTTTGTGGCTTTAGTTATACATATGAGAATTTTAAACCCTGAAGCGCTTTAATTTTTAGTGAAAATAAAGAAGTAAACAATTATGAGCTGTTTCTTGCTTTAGCATTCTGTGGATTGTCAGACTTATACTTTTTGTAATTTCTGAAAACATAAGCATTCCCATCAATTTCTTATAACACAAAATATGTTTATTTATAGACTCAAATATCTTTAGTTCATCTGTAAAAGGAAGCCCAAAGTGGGTAGAGCTATGCTCAGTAATTAATGTTTCAGCATTTTATCTTATTTGGAAATGATCTAGATATTTAGTGACTATCCATCATTTAATTTAACTTTACAAAATTTATAGTTTCAGGTTTTCAAAAAGATTTGGTGAAACTTTAAAAACTCATCTAAAAACCTGTTAGTTAAAACTTGCCTGTGTTTAAGTTCACTTCTTCTTAACAATTATGTTGAGATCACTTACAAAATTTCATCATACCAAGTTATTTTTCTTCAAGACAGGTTTTGGAGAGATAACTTATTTGAGTAGTAAACCTCTGTAGAATAAAAATTATATTATGCATTATAGTCAGTGTTGATAACTCTAATGATATGTCTATTTTAATTAAACCAACAAACTTAAATTAGATTTTTGCCACATTACATGAACCTAAAAAGCAGTTGGCTTAGTTTCTGTTATATTTCTGAGAAATCTAGGAATATAAGTGCTTAATTTTAATTCAAACAAATGTGTAATTTTCTTTAAACCAATTAAATAGGAGTCTTTTACAAATTAATTTTAGCAATACCATTTGGAGGTAGAA